AGTATTGTTTTACAACAATTTGTCACAACAGGAAATGTAAATACTTAATCTAATAACCAATTTGTTTTAGAAGACAAAATCAATGTAATGCTTGATATTATTACATATTTTTATGACACAATATATTGGTTAATTAATCTTCTTGTATTTACAAATCACAACAAGACATTGTCCTTATCATACCTAGTCCCTTAAAAAGAATATGTTGGACTTCTCGAGTTGTTTTTTCCCGGTTTGACCTAGAACAAAAAATTGAGAATGGAAACGGGACACCCGACCAAAGAGCAGAAAACAGCACAAGGCCACCAATAGGTCTTCAACACAGCGAGAAAATCTGCACCCGGAGATAAATTTTATAAAAAGTGTACTTCGGTTATCTAGAATCTTAAATTATTTTTTAATTGTCTTCAGAAAACCGAACACATAATATATTATCTTTCAAGAGACATTCAAATAAATCTAACGTTGTTTGATAAATATTTACATTCAAATGAATGACTTACAGAATTTATGTTCCGTCATGAACTCTGAAAAAAAATCCTCAAATTCTGTACTCTCCACAGGTTCTATCATTTTCAACTTTTAAATATATTTGGCCCAAATTGGATCACATAATTTAGAAGTGCAAAATAATGTAGCTCAGAAAACTTTAATTTTGGACTTTTTTCCAGCGACTTGGGGAAAACCAATCTGATAAACTGGTAAGGGGCTCAAATTTCGTTTGCTCAGAGTATATCCACAATAGGCTAACCGCGGATTACCTTGCTTTGCTTCTTTTAACATCTTAGTGTGAACGCTCCGGGTGAAAAAAAAAAGCGCATAATAGGCAAACCGCGTGTAAATCCGCTACGCTTCTTACAATGATCTAAGTGATTGAGGACCAAGTCGTGCAAGGAGCCCCGAGTGATAAACTCCGTATAAATAGGATAACCGCGGATAACTCTGCTACGCTTATTTTACTATCTTAGGTGTTTGAGGAACGAGTCACCCGAGGATCCCCGAGTAATACAATCCATGATAGGCAAACCGTGGGTAACCTCTGCTACATTTCTTTACTTTCTTTAAGTATTTGAGGTACGAACCACCCCAAAGCCTCCCGAGAGATGAAAACCAAGGTTGGAATGTATGCACCTGCTAAGATAAAACAAAAGTTTCACGAAACAATATTTTTTTTCATTACATCAAACTTTATTATGATTTTTTGTTAATAAAAAAACGAAATGCCACGTTATACTATGTCATCTGCAGCTGTGCAATACTATGGTTAATCTGTAACTACAAAATTAATGCACAGTAAAATCGATATTAATTGATATTTACATGATTTAAGTTGACTTTGTAATAATCCTTTGTAGTGCTCAAATATTGATTGATGGGGTCCCTTTCATCAATTACACTACTGGGCGTGCATATCAATTTAATGAATTTGAGAAACCGTATAAAATGTGGTGTTTTGGGATTGATTATTTTCGATTGAATTTTAGTTAGGATATATAATCTGAGACCACAAAAATTCATTATTACATTTTGTTAGCATTCAGTCAATTAAAAAAAAAATAACACCAGCGATTTTTCTAAAACAATTGCCTGTTTGAAATATAGTGTTTGTCAAAACATATACCTTAACCTTAAAAGAACTAACTTTATAAAGATCAAATGTTTTTTGTCATTTATTACACACAAGATACATGCTCATGACAAATTATTAATGCAATACGAAACAAATAGGAGTCATTTAGTATGCAAAGTTATGTTAAAACAAAAAAACATGAAACCTAAAATACAACTGGTGAAATCTGGAAACTTATCCAGTTAAATCTGGAAACTTATCCAGTTAAATCTGGAAACTTATCTAGTTAAATCTGGAAACTTGTCCAGTTAAATCTGGAAACTTGTCCAGTTAAATCTGGAAACTTGTCCAGTTAAATCTGGAAACTTATCCAGTTAAATCTGGAAACTTGTCCAGTTAAATCTGGAAACTTATCCAGTTAAATCTGGACTAGAAGTCTTTCATCATCACAAATGTTCAGCTTTTTCTGTTTACATTGTTTAATGGTTTTTCACTTTACGTTGTTTTAACATATTTCTTTTAAATTCCTTCTGTCGTGTAAGGGAGCGACCATTTGATTTTTATTGGGGGGAGGGGGGGGGGGGGTGGAGGATGAAATTTGAAAAAAAGGCAGGACAGGAGTTTTGAGCAAAAAAAAAGGCAGGATGAGCAACTTGGCCAAAAAAAAAAGGCACGATAAACTAATAAAGTGCTCCCGTAACCTTGTATGCAGATGCCTTATGTTACGAAGTTTCTGTCTGTCATATGTCCATTGCCCTTGACCTCATTTTCAAGGTTCAGCGACTGCGTGAAAAAAAATATTAGTTTTTTTTTGTCATGTGAATTTCTCACTTAATATGAGTAATAGGATAACTATATATGGGTTCCTTGCAACGTCTACATGTCCGTCAAACAGGGTTCACCTGGCCTCGACCTTATTTCATGGATCAGTGATCAAGGTTAAGGTTACGTAATTAGGTCCGTTTCTCAGATACTATAAGCAGTAGGTAAAGTATATGTGGTGCATAGAATAATTGTAAGGAGTACATGTCAGTCGAGTACATGTCAGTCTGGCAGGTGTCATATGACCTTGACCTCATTTTCATGGTTCATTTGTCAATGTTAAGTCTTTTTGTTTTGATCTGGGTTTTTTTTTCAAACACTATAAGCAATAGGTCAACTATATTTGGTGTATGGAATGGTTGTAAGGGGTACATGTCTGTCTTGCAGGTATCATCTGACATTGACCTCATTTTGATGGTTCATTGGTCAAATGAATGTTAATTTTTTGTGTTTTGGTCTGGGTTTTTTTTTCCAAATACTATAAGCAGTAGGTCATCCATATTTGGTGTATGGAATGGTTGTAAGGGGTACATGTCTGTTTGGCAGGTATAATCATCTGACCTTGACCTCATTTTCATGGTTCATTGGTCAATGTTTAGTTTTTGTGTTTTGGTCTGTTTTTCAATTACCACATGCAATAAGTCAACTATATTTGGTGTATGGAATGATTGTATACATGTCTGTCTGACATAATTTATGACTTTCAACATAAAATTAATGGTCAGTAAAGCAGGCCAGACATTTCAGCGTGTGCACTCTTGTTTAAAAGTCTTTGAGTTGCTGTCTTATTGGCATATTCCCCACTTTTTATTTCGTTCGTAAATAAACATACAGGATCATGAAAACAGAAATTGACACGTATAATTTGGTTCTAGCAAATTGAGAAACTAATTAAACTTCAAATAAAAGATGATATTTTTTCTTAAAAGAAACAAACAAGTAACACAAACTGCAAAATAATACCCGTTGAGACTCAGTCAAGAAAATCGTTAAACTTTTCTTTATAATTTATTATGTGACAATATAATTGAAATGCATTCAACATTTTATTTATGTAAAAGTAAAAAAAAATTCTTCACATGCGCAGAATCATATTTTAACGCTTATGAGGGGGGAAAACAATAGGAAGCGAGTTAGTGTTTAAGCGCTTTCGTCTATTAGTATCTGTATAGGGACTTATCAAGACTGTCCGTTGTTAAGGTATATCATAGTGATATATACAAGTATATTATTTATCATTAATTCACATAAAATATTGTAAAAACCAAAATTTATTTTTAGACCTACTGCTAGAGAATTTTAACCTCAGTATCCTGTTTTCTCGGAAAAAAGTTTACATGTTAACATCAAACAATGTAAATTAGGGAATGAACGTCGGACTTTACAAACCGGAATATGTTAATATGTATGCCTAAGGCAGTGAGTCCTCCGAGGTTTTTATCTAATAATTTGGCGTTTAAGTCTTTGAAAGTTGTGTGATGATGATGCATGCTCTTTGTATTCTCAATTCTCTTTAATTCATACTTAATTTGGCCTTCTCATATTTTTTTTATTCGAGCGTCACTGATGAGTCCTTTTATGAGGCAATGCGCGTCTTGCGTACAACATACTAAGCCTGATATCTATGATGAGTTTATTTGTAAGTCACTGACCATTCATCTTTTGTGGTTTGTCGATTAAAAACATTCACTAATGTTTCTATAATATACAGGACAAGATTGGTATATTTTAATCAATGTTTTTTTTTCTAAAACTTCAATAAGAAAAAATCATCTAGACCCTCATAAATAACATTCATACTGAGCAATTAAGTTTTATTGCACGATTTTTAATAACCGACTTTTTTTTATAGTCCTTGAATTTGTTTAATGAGTGTGTTTATGTACATGTCATGTTTTTTTTATGTAAATGTCATAAGTTATAAAAGCTTTAAGTCTCCGAAAAACTATTGCTTAGCACAATATTACTGACAGCAGCTATCGCAGGCGTGATACAGGGTTCCGCGGAACCCCTTTCGTTTTTTTTTTTTCGCTTTGTAAACAAAGCAGATCAAAGCAATGTTCTAATTTCAATTAGAATATTAGGTACATGGGTTTGACGTCTCAATATTGAATTTGAAACGTCAGTTGAATTTATGAGGTTCTGGATTGGGGTTAACTGAAGAGAGAATAAAGGGCGAAAAATATAAAGATTAGGGAATAATGAGGGTGCTAGAATAGAAAGAAGAGGAAAAAGTGAACTAAAAAATAAAAAAAAAACAGAAATAAAGGATACCCAATCCTTATTTATGCTACACTGCCCGGGAGATCAGAATGGGTGTTTCCATTCATACCGAAGCTGTCTGCAATCAAATGTAACAAAATCTTTAAACAAGTAAATTTATATGTATGGTCCACTTTAACTCGCGAACACTTTGTTATTTTAGAACGTATTTACTTTATCAAGTATAAATAGTTGCCTTTCGAACGCAAATATCCAAAACGGCATATAACGGTTAACATACTGTCTATAGCGTCCTTTAACTACTGTTTAAATGTTTTGACTTTGTTTTCGAGAAATACTGGCCAAAATATACATAAATTACTTATGCGCTTTTTTCTATTTTCAGTTGGCGCTTTAGCAACTTATTCCGACTCCCCAACATACTCTGACCTAGATAGACTGTATCCCTGGGTTCAAGATGGAGGAAGGGGAAAGCCGTCCTACTGTTACCCACGTCATCGTGTTGCCATCATCATTCCATACAGAAATAGGGATAGTCAACTACGGACATTTTTATACAATATCCATCCAATACTTTATAGACAAGAGTTAGATTATGGAATATATGTCGTAGAACAGGTATGCAATCTAATAAATCAATCAAAAATCGAAAACAGGGGGACCCCTCCCCCTTGGATCCGCCAATGCAATTATTATGGTGAACTTTGGTGAGACGGAAGGGTAAGTAGTGTATGGACTATGGACTGCAGTTGTCACTCCTCATGTGATTTATTGCAAAATTTGTCTATGCAGCTTATGACATTTCATTCTTTTTTTAATCAATTTTTTAGCAAGGACGGGACCGAACTTGTGGCGTTTTATGATTGGACTCTTTACTAAAGTCAACATGTTTCAATAAGATTTGTGAAAGTTATTTAATATGCATTGTGAATTGTCGCTTGATAAGGGGAAGATCGTTGGGGTGGGGTTTCGGGAGTGAACAAGAGGATTACTGTCCTGGTAATCTGGTAAGAACTGTTGATAATTAACCTGTCCAAGACATGAATGGAATTAATAGTATGTCTCACAAATTGCACATAAATATTGTGTACTAAATAAAAAAAAAATGTATACGATATAATTTCTTCCTTTAATAATATGACAATATGAATGGTTATTTTATTGTTCGATAGCCTGAGAGAATTGTTTATGTGAAAAAAAATAATAATCCTAATTTCAAATCCTACTATAAAAGACTGACTTTTCGTTTTTCATTTCGAAAGTTTTGCGGACCCTATCGTAATTTAGTTCACCTTTATGGAACATTTGTGTCACGGATGACCACGGATATGCCCCATTTGTCGTAACAACCTTTCCAACCTCCTTTCAACACGTGTGACATGACAGCATGCAATTTATCAACCCGAATAATCCAGTTCTCTACGATCAATCCGTCTTCGAGAAACGGTAGTTGATAGAGGGCGCTGAATAATTCGAGTTAATGGAACAGGAGCTGATTTGGTAAATAATTTTGTAGTCTTCCTGTTTGTTCAGACAGAACCAATAATAAAAATAGTAATATATGGATTGTCATAACACGAGACCGTCGGTGACAAAATACAAAACAATATCTTCATTGTTAAAAAAAATCATATATAAAACATCAAAAACTTCCATACAACATTTACAACAATCGGATAATCAAGAATCCTTTGTCCTCAGTTTGGTTGACCTTTGAAGACATATTACATGCACGTTGAACATTTGTTGGATTATGAATTGAAACTTTTACTTTTCAAGCAAAACTCATGAAATCACTATTTTGATAACCTTATATAGTTCATTCAAGTTATTGTTTCTTACACATTGACTTCTTTTCGCATTTGAAGAGCAAATGAAATTCATCATCTACAGCACAACTAAAGTAAAAGTGACGTAAACACCGGAGATCCCCCATGCGTAGTAACAGATGAAAATAAATAGTCAATCCGCAAAAAAATCCTCCTGACTCCCCCAGAATATCAAATAGGCGTCCCCTAATTGTCAAATGCTTGACTTAAACAAATATGTTTTTAAAATTAGTGTTCATTAATACTTATTGGTTCCATTTGTTTAATTCTTAAAAGACAATTAAATCAAAAAGGTTTATGACAAACATTAGCTAAATATAAACACTTGTCAAACAGTAATATATATACTAGTATATATAGTTATCTATTTACATGCATGTATACAATGTGCGTCTATCTCCCACCTTGCCATGCAGCACCGTTCCTTGGTGGCTTTTGTAGTTAAGTTAAATATCCAATACATTGCCAATTTATCTTAGGAACTTTTTCATGTTGGGGTGTACCTGAGAAGGAGGGAAACACTGTTGAACGTATATATATTTATATATGTGTGTGGTTCGCTATTTCTTTTCTTTGTATACTAGACTATTGTTGTTTCTTTTTGTTATCGTCTTATTAATGTCTTATATTGTATTATGCTCCTTGTGAGCCCATCTAATTGAAATAAAAACATCTTCTATACAGCGTAAACGAAACAAAATAGATGTTTACGACTGACCAAACAAGACAGCAAAACTAAAAATCAGTGGCGGATTCAAGAGAGGAAGTAGAATCAGTGGCGGATTCAAGAGGGGAAGTAGAAGGCGTGTGCCCCCTCTTTCAACGCCCCCGCTTTGATCGGACAATATATCATTAAATTTTTTAAGCATAAAGTCGTCCAAAACCCGTATTTATTCTGGATCCGCCCATGACAATCGACTTATGAAATAAAATATGCATTTCCTTATTCACTTCAGTAAATAGTTTCGATAATACAAAAATAGTAAAAATAGTATGAATAGCAACTTATAGCGATTAAGACATTTTTATTGTCATGGTAACATGTGTTACCATAATTGTACGTGTTATTATCCCGTGTGTCTAATGGGACAGATAATTTATAGACTGGCTCATTTCGTGTGAATAAATTGTTAAATTGAAATATTTTCAATGGTTTGCCCTTTGTTGGCGTCCATTTCCATGCATTTAGAAATACAAAAGGAAACGATACACGTGTTGACAATAGTTGCACATAGTATCAAATCGGCAATGCTATACATTTCATTTTCTTCATATTTAAAAAAAAAACTACGAGTCTATGTTCATAATCTTAATCCAAAATTGCATCCAGATATTTATATTAAATGCAGTCTTGACCAAAACTTTATCCATTTAGATGGTTGAAGGAGGGAGTATGGTAATTAACGTACTACAAAATACCTTAGTGTATCTAGCTATGACTACGTACATTTTTGTATTTATACATCCCACACAGCCACAAGGAATTCCTTCTATACCCCGTCAACATACATACAAAAAATTACATAAAAAAATAAAGACTGAGCAACATGAACACCACAAAAACAGGTTTTGAATATTGAATAGAATTGTGAAGGCATATGTTATGTGACTAGTTTGTACATGTGAAATACCTCGAGAAACACCAGGTGTTCAATTTAACAACCGTTTATTGGTGGGTTGCTATAATATTATGTATCAACATTTGCACCTAATCTACTTTTATTTACATAAATGTCTAAATAATGGTGTGAGTTATGGATGGACATTATGACGTATTTATACATTAATAATTATTGTTGTCTTGTTAACCTGGAGGGTGATTAATCATGCTTATTAAATTTTTACTAATATTATCATCGAGTGTAAGTGGTATGACCAAGGTCCAATGTATTTGTTTCACCCAAGGGGTCAAATCTAAATTATAAGTCGTTGGAATTTTGAAATTTAATATTCTAATTAAGAGACTTACAAAAACTGTACATATACATATATAAACTGATCTTGTAATTCATAGCTATGCGTGGCCGTTGTAGACCGTTTTGATACTGATCTTGTAATTCATAGCTATGCGTGGCCGTTGTAGACCGATTTGATACTGATCTTGTAATTCATAGCTATGCGTGGCCGTTGTAGACCGTTTTGATACTGATCTTGTAATTCATAGCCATACGTGGCTTGTAATTCATAGCTATGCGTGGCCGTTGTAGACCGTTTTGATACTGATCTTGTAATTCATAGCTATGCGTGGCCGTTGTAGACCGTTTTGATACTGATCTTGTAATTCATAGCTATGCGTGGCCGTTGAAGACCGTTTTGATACTGATCTTGTAATTCATAGCTATGCGTGTCCGTTGTAGACCGTTTTGATACTGATCTTGTAATTCATAGCTGTGCGTGGCCGTTGTAGACCGTTTTGATACTGATCTTATAATTCATAGCTATGCGTGGCCGTTGTAGACCGTTTTGATACTGATCTTATAATTCATAGCTATGCGTGGCCGTTGTAGACCGTTTTGATACTAAACTTGTAATTCATAGCTATACGTGGCTGTTGTAGACCGTTTTGATACTGATCTTGTAATTCATAGCTATGCGTGGCTGTTGTAGACCGTTTTGATACTGATCTTGTAATTCATAGCTATGCGTGGCCGTTGTAGACCGTTTTGATACTGATCTTGTAATTAATAGCTATGCGTGGCCGTTGTAGACCGTTTTGATACAGTGACGCCAATTTTTTTTTATTTTAGCGTTCCGGATTAAGTAAATCATGAAAGACTGTCCTTCTTTTTCATTTATTGTCCTTATTCATAATTTGGAACCCCCACTTTTTTTTTGGCCGATCAATGCATTTGAATCGGGACATATGGTTGGAACCCCCCCCCCCCCCCCCCCCCCCCCTTTTCTCCGGGGTTGGGACCGCCCCCTTTTTTTTAAATGGCTGAATCCGCCCCTGGATTGGAATAACTTTTTTTAAATTGTCACATTGTGAAATAAATTCACGAGAAGTTGGACCTCCCTCTTTTTTAGCCTCCGGTTTCGAGCATTTTGCTTGTTAAAAGGCTAAACTGGGTATATTTCTGTACAAGGCATGAGGAACTTCATAAGTTGATGCATAGACAAATTTAATTCATATCTTTACTACGACAACATTATATAACATTGAGGTCACACAAATTGTTTCATATATTTGTTTATTCCATGGATACATTTAAGTATTATATTGGCCAACTCGTCTAGACCTTTGTTGATTGATAAAGACACCGACAGCCTTTTTTACATTTTAGATTAATTTAAAACATTTGAAAAGACATTTAGAGTCATAATGTTTTAAATCAGTTATTTTCGTAGTCGGGTAAAGTAAAAAGTCAATCAGCTGATAACCAAGTTGGAGTTGTGATATATTTGATATATGAGGGAATTGATGGGGTTTACAGAACAGAGAATAGATTATTTTTTTGGGTCCATTTTTATCTATTCTTTATATTTTAGCACCCCATTTTTCTCTATTCTTTATTTTTTGGGGTCCATTTTTATCTATTCTTTATATACTTCGCCCATTATTCTCTATTCTGTAAACCCCCATCCAGACTCTCATAATTTGAATCGCGCAGCAAATCGATAGCTTTTAAATTGTGAACCCATAATCATATCGTACATGTCTAACGTTTCAGAATGGAAGTTCAAAATTTAATCGTGCCATGCTGATGAACATTGGGTATGCAGAAGCAATGAAGATACATGACTATCAGTGTTTTGTCTTCCATGATGTGGACTTGATTCCAGAAAACGACAAAAATATTTACAACTGTCCAAAACAACCAAGACATATGTCAGTTGCAATAGATAAATTCAAATACCGGTAAGAATTATAAGGTCTTATATTGGGAAGTCTTCTTGGAAACATTTTGACAGTTATATTTTAGACACATTACAGTGAGATTTTAGACACATGACAGTGAGATTTTAGACACATTGCAGTGAGATTTTACACATTTTAGACACATCACAGTGAGATTTTAGATACATTACAGTGAGATTTATAAAATAATTTTATTTTATGTCTCCCGCTTTCACAAACCGTCTACGACTCTAAAACTAAATTTTGTGAACTGGTGCTTGTATATCTTGTATGGCTCACGGATCTCTTTTTTTATAGAGAGCAAAGCGAGATGAAGTTGATGCATGTGAAAATTCTTTGTTAGCCTTGTCTTTCTAAAGGTTCATTAAAGGGATTTTCGAACAGGGTTAACTCAGTTAAAACAATTCTAGTTAACAAATAGTTCTACGTATTAAAGATTCAGTTTTACATTCGCTTATTTATGACAGTTTTCCAGATTGATATCAAAGGACCAGTCTAAACCACTGGTACAAGTTTAAACACAGGGTAAAACTTGGTTTGTGAAAACTATCAATTGTTTTTTTAACGTATTACTGTCTGTTAATGACTCAAGTTTGTCAAAAGCGTGTTTTAATTAAAGTAATTATTGCCCAAGCTTTAATTGTTAATGTTGTCTTTTTTTATATGTGCATGTCTTTCTCGGTGACCTTGTACTGGCCTTTGTCCAGTTAGGTTTATATTTTTCCTCATTTTTGATGTTTCATGTTACAATTTTGCTTCGGAACTCTTGTGAGTTCTTCGCTTATCGAAGCATACACAGTTATAGTATGAGATTAGAAATGTGAAATATTTTTTAGATTGCCTTACACAGCAATATTTGGAGGCGTATCATCTTTAACAAAGGAACAGTTCCAAAAAGTCAACGGATTTCCGAACAGATATTTTGGCTGGGGAGGTGAAGACGATGATATGTGGAATAGGTAAGGAGTATTTTGTAAGAAAGAAATTATATTCACATCCATACGGCATCCATTTTGGATTGGAATAGTACTATAAGGGTCTAAATGGGGGAGGGTTTTTTTTCCAGAATAGCGAATAATGGGAAAACAATAGAGAATATTGTTAGTAAAATAGTCCAAGAATGGGCCGAAAATGTAAGAGTAGAGAAAAATTGGCCAAAATAAGGAATAGAGAAATATATCCCGATAGTAAGGAATGGAGAAAACTGAGCTAAAAAATAAAGAATAAAGAATAATGGACAATGAATAAACAACAGAGAAAAAAAGCTTAAGCAATTGAAGAGTATACAGAAATGAAGAACCCCCTGACCTTCCGAGATCTATCTACTTCGCTGGAAGTGAACACATTTTTATCCTGCTGTATTTTAACTGACTTTCCTAGTATTTGTGATCAAAATAAACAAGAACGGCCTTTCTTGGTTGCCAATACTCAAGGTCACACGTCAAAAAAAGAGATCAGACATCTCTGAAAAGAAATTTTCCTCCATTGATCGATTGAACAAGAAAAGAGAGACAACTCAATTTTTCATATTCTTTTCATTTTATGATTTTTTTTCTTTTTAGAATTCACAACGCTGGATATAAAGTGATCCGATATGCTATGGAAATAGCTCGTTATAAAATGATTAAACATGGAACTGAAACAGGAAATAAAGCTAATCCTGGAAGGTAATGACGAATGACTGAAATCAAATTCATTTTAAAAAAATTTCAAGACATATCATTCATTTCAGTTAAATTGCAGAAGCCTCGATTTCATGAATTTCCTCTATTTGTAATTCAATGTTAATAGAAGTTTCTATCTGACAACTTCATTGATACTTGCAGCATATTATTTGTATTTCTAAGGTACCATATTAATATTTTGCTATACAATTTCTATAGCCTGAAATCAACAAATATATTCAAATGTTCCTTTACTAATATAAACAAGTACAGCTTGCCATTTTAACATGTAAGCTAGATATTTTTAATGTACTTTTTTAGTATACGTGAAATAGTCAACGGATTGATTTAACATCCAGTGGCAAATATTACATACATTTTCTGGTAGTGGAATTGGATTATAATAAATCTTCAAAGTAAAGGGAAATACTGTAAACCAACTTATTTTCGCGGATACTTTATTTCGCGTTTATCCCTTTCTAGCCCATTTCGCGGCGGTTTAATTTCGCGATTCTGAAATTTACTTGTTGCAGTCAGATAAATAAGGAAAAATCCAAGTTTTACATATTCGCGACTATTTATATTTGCGATATTTTTCTACTCGCGAAAGTTGCGAAAATTAGTTGGTTTACAGTAGTTCTACCTTTAAGTTAAGACCCATGTAGTACAATGTAGTGGGCAACTCTATTAAGGTATATACATGGAGGTATTTTTTCAACTGCTTGTGGGAACGTGGCAGAATGATGGGTGCAATGGCTGCCCCAAATCTAGGTGGTAAGGTCAAAACTTTCGAGGTTAAAAATTCCTCCAGAAGCTAAAAAGACAATTGCTCTTGTGTTTTGATTCAACATTAAGCTCAAGCACTATCACCATTCATTAAGCACTATCACCATTAATTTAGCACTATCACCATTCATTAAGCACTATCACCATTCATTAAGCACTATCACCATTCATTAAGATTAATATTACTTCTGATGAAGGTTTAAACAGTATTTTTGAACTCGGAAAAACCTGCATGATTATAGCATTTATCATTATTCATTACAGGTTTAAAATGCTGAAAGAAAGTAAAAAATATTTTAAAACAGATGGCATTAATAGCCTAAAATATAAAGTATTAAAGATAGACTTTAACCATCTCTATACACGAGTCGTTGTTGACATAGATGAAAAAGAAGTTATGGCGGTATGTAGAAATATTTTATTTGTATTCTTGCTTTTCATTGAAAAAAAAGTTGTAAAAAAGTCTCATAAGAAAAATATATCGGTATAAAATGACCGTATCCATATTTTGAATTTAGATGAAACATACAAATATCACCAACAGTAAAACTTGATAGAGAACTTTTTTTTTTTACATAGGCCAAAAGCAAAAATGAGACTAGATGCAGGGAAACGGTAACGTGTTTACACATTTGAGTATCTGGTAACGTGTCATCACTATTTGATATCTTTAAACTTGTGATATATGTTAACGTGTCATTACAATACGATATCTGTTTACTTGTGATATCTGTTAACGTTTCATCACAATACGATATATGTTAACTTGTGATATATGTTAACGTGTCATCACAATACGATCTCTGTTAACTTGTGATATCTGTTAACGTGTCATCACAATACGATATCTGTTAACTTATGATATCTGTAAACGTGTCATCACAATACGATATTTGTTAACTTGTGATATCTGTTAATGTGTCATCACAATACGATATCTGTTTACTTGTCGTGATATCTGTTAACGTGTAACTACTTCTTGATATTGTGTATCGTACATATGTCATCTTTGCATGATATTTGGTACGTGTCATCACTCCTTGATATTTGGTAACATATCATCACTCCTTGATATTTGGTAACGTATCATCGCTGTTTGATACATGTACCTGGTAACGTGTCGTCACTACATGAAATCAAGAAACGTGTCATTAGTACATGAAGTCAAGAAATGTGTCATAACTGCTTGATACATGTACCTGGTAACGTGTCGTCACTACATGAAATCAAACAAGAAACGTGTCATCACTGCTTGATATCTGGTAACGTTTAATCACTTTTCATATAACTACAGACTGTTCGGCATACTTTCCTTTTTTTATTTGCAGTGGAATTTTCAAGTGTGACATAGGCTTCATATATATGCAACTCATAACTACTATACGTAAACTTGCGAAAATTTCGTAATTTAAAATGTAAAAAAGTATATGTATTTTTTATTTTAGGGATTAAAAAGGTCATGACACCAACTTAGTGAAGAAGATACTACTCAAGTGTAAAGAAATAACGAATACACACTAAATGACGACAGATATATGGAGACACTCAATCGGATAATTCATTTATGGTGCATTATGGGGTAACTCTGCCGTTCTAGAAGATATTCATAACATTGCATTCAAACTGAAACTGTGTGGGTAGCATGAATTAGGATGACAGAAGAGGGATTATTTTTGATTCGACCATTTAAAGCAAAACCTTATGTACACTTTTTCAAATGAAAAATAAACGTTCTTGAAAATATGAAGTAACGTTTGAGACAGAGTGGTTAATCGTTTGTTTTTTTTATGAAGCATTGTTTAATGATTATAGATAGTTTGTTTGTGTTAAATTGTTTGCAACATTGTTTAACAGGTCGGGTACACTACATTTTATGGATACACATAATGCCCCCCCCCCCCCCCCCCCTATGTAATTTGTTTGTTTACATATAATCATTATTGTTTACGTTAGAGTGTGTTGCAATGCTTTATGGGTTTATTGCCACTTGATTACTTTCATATTTTACCCAGAACCACATGTGTCAAGCTCTTGGACTAAATCGTCCCTAGATCACGTATATAACAAGTCATTGCGAATAGTAATTTAGATGAACTAACTTTTAAAGTAGCTCCTGCCAAAAAATCAACACAACCAATGCAGATATTCTGCGTCTGTCTTTAAATCAGAGTGGCTTTGCAGCTGGAAACTCTGCGCAACCAGAGCATGCTTTATATTCGGCAGGATTACTATGAAAATAAGAAGATGTGGTATGATTGCCAATGAGACAACTCTAAGAGACCAAAAGACCATTTTACTATGTGTTTTTCTCAAGAGCATTGTTTTAAGAAAGGTATAAGAAAACATGATACGAAAATTCCTAGAGCACAGAGAAGCGTGTGTCCAGTTCTTCTAAAACGATTTAACTTGTTACCAAATTCGACGTGTTCGTAAGTGATAGTAAACTCGTAGTAGCACACAATGCATTGTAGTTCCTTGGATTGATTGGGCAATTTCTTAGAATGTGTAATTTGGGAAAATTAATACGCAAATATTTATACTTGACCTGAAAATTCTAGTTGTCTCGACCTGTGTAAAGATTATATGTGCCTTCTTATTGATCTCTTTACCAAAGAATAAATGAATCATGTTTTATTGCAGGAAAATTATTTTATTATTGTTATATATAATTTTATCCCCTGTAAATAACATATGGTCGCGCTTAGTGGAACAGAGCGCTGGCGCGATCAGTCATTATTGTATGTTAACTGAACAAAATGTTTTAAATCATTTTACACAAATATCTTTTTTTTAAATTAAATTATGTTTATATTTTTATTGATATTCTTTAAACATATTGAAGTGCCTTTCAAAAACAGAGTGTATGGATGTGGGTCCTTGATTTGAACAAGGATTTGTATAGATAGTTAACTACTAGTATACAAATCCTTGAATTGAGGGGGTGGATAGAGGTAAGGGAATATGGGAATGAAGGGGCTGGAAGCGGGAGTCAGGGGTGGGAACCGGGAGAAGAAAGGGGGAAATAAAAAAAGAAATATACTAGGAAAGTTTTTTTGACCGATTTTAGTCTAAGAGTAAAGGGGAGGGAAGTGGGAATCAAGGACCCCCTGTCCATCCCCTCTAATTTCTGTATTCTTTAAGTTTTTAAGACATTTTTTTTTATAATTAAAAATAACGCTTATTCTGAAAAATTCTCGTGAAAATGATTTTACAATTAAAATTTTCAGAATTTCTGTAATTAGATGATTTCTTATTCTGTATATTGTTCATTTGTGAAATAAGTGAAATATTATCTGATTCATTTATTTTCCACAGTTATTCTGTATACACTTGCACTCACTTTTTCTCTATTCTTCATATATTTTGCTATATATTCTCTGTTCATTTCCATATTTCTCTATTCATTACCAACCGCCTCGGTGGTCTCGTGGTTGCGTGTTCGCCTGGAGTGCGGGAGGTCGCGGGTTCGAACCCCGGCCGGTTCAAACTAATTATAAAGACTTTAAAATTGGTATTTGCTGCTTCTCCTAAGGAGTAAAAGCAAAGACTGGTTGGCTCGGAGTCAGAATAATGTGTCCAGGTAAGGTGACATGTTTTCCTGTGGACAGTTACCTTGTGAACTAGCACGTTAGAAATCCGACTCAATGCGTCGGTCTAGTACAAAGCAGGGTTAATATTCCAGTGGCGGATCTATAGGTGGAAGGGGGTGGGGTTTGGAACCCTCCTTTTTTTTTTTGACGATCAATGCATTTGAATGGGGACATATAGTTGGACCCCCCCCCCTTTATCCTTTTAAAAATGGCTGGATCCGCCCCTGATATTCATATTACATAAACATGTTCTCGTCCTGAATATGCATATTAATTTGCCGCTGGACGCGTTAAACAGCCATCCATTATCATCATCTATTCATTACCATATTTCTGTATTCTGTAAACTCCAACCATCCCCAAACAGGAATTGCAGTTAAAGAAAACAAACTGCACTACATTATATAAAAATAAGGAGATGAGGTATGATTGCCAATGAGTCAACTATCCACCAAAGTTCAAATAAAGTGAATGTAAGAGATTATGTTCAGTGGTAACTTGAATTGTGTTATTAGAATATGTAAAAAAAAAATATGCGTCTATTTGTCATCCAGTTTTAATGAGGGTCTGAATGGTGTTTACAGAATAGAGAATAATTGGGGGATGAAAAATAGAGAAAAATGAGATAAAAAATAAAGAATAGAGAATAATGGGGTACTATGATTGATAAATAAAGAATATAGAAAATAGCTTAAAACTTAAACAATACAGAAATGAAGACAGTCATCTATTTATATATTTGCTAAATGTTAATCCTGTAAACTGTGTTGGCTTTTATAGATGCCTTTCAATACATCCATACCGTGACCATTTTTCGTTATCATTTTAGGTATAACATGATGGTAAAGTTTGTTTATTTTTGTAAAATACATATTATTTATTCATTTATTGTATTGAAAATACATTTCATTATGCAACCATAAAATTAAGCACCCAAAAAATATGACAAAAACAGAAAAAAATGACGGCTGCTGTGCTTTGTATTTCTATTACATCATAGTGAGACGGTATTTTCAGACTCATTTTATGTTTTGAATCTGTTAAATCAATATTCAACGTTCTGATTAAGATAAGTCTATTTTAGAACGTGGTTTGAGTCAAATATATATCAAAGATCATACGGAAAATCATCGTTGAGTTATATTTATTTATAATGCATTGTGTTTTGTATCATTATTAAAATGTTGATAAACTGCTGTTTTTTTTTAATTTATGAATGGAATTTGAAAAGTTTAACGGGAATGAATTGCACTATTAACTGTTCACACATAATAAAATACCATGTGCACAACGATACCTAACAAGTTTCCTACCATTCAATATTAGCTGTGGAGGATTTGTGTTAACATTGATGTTTATCGGCAATTTGTACAGTTTTCCCTTTGATCTTACTGTCTAATATTTTTAAGATCATGGACAGGACTTGATACTCGAAAATATTAGGCAATGTCGTCATATATCAGTGCATCAACGTCGCGTGCTCAAGTCCATCCTCGTCAATTTTATCAATTAAATGCACGCGACTTCATTCATACAACCGAACAATTATCCCAACGTTTTGTACGCGTAAAAGTAGTTTTACTAACTATTTCATTTTACTTCATATTCTCAACAACAAAAAAATACAGTTATGACAAATTGCCGATAAACAGAATAATGACATTTTAGTTTTTGATACTGACTTCATCAGCTCGAATATCAGATCGCCCTAGCGGGCTCGCTTGATATTCTTGCTGATAAAGTCAGTATCAAAAACAAAAATGCCATTATTCTATACTTTGAAGTCATTTGTTAACAGGCAGACAGACAAAAAACATATATACCTACGTCTAATGGTAAAAGTGAGGGTGATCAGATACCAAGGGGACAACCGAATACCATAAATCGAAAAAATACAGACAAAAAAGTAATCTGGTTCTCGGCTGACTACTACACTTTGTTCATAGCGTAATACAAGCGGATTCCAGTTTAACAAAAAAGACGAACAAACATACAAACAAGTCCATAAAACACTTCACAGGAAGAAAAAAGAAAATGAGAAAAATTACCCAACCACACACCGATGGTGCACCCAGGAGGGGTCAGCAGTTCCCACTCCACTAATGACACCCGTCGTCTTAATATAATTATATGGTACATTTATGGTGCTTCTTTAAAAGCCCATCTTACACCTAATCAGGAAAGTAAAACGGTAAAGTTAACGTTAATCTGAGAAAAATAAAACTCATAAATTTGATGCGTCCGAAGCGATTTACCTTCATCAAGAACGCTCAAATCCAAAAATTTAAAAGCCAAAGGATGTATGCATATGAATCCTTGATTACTTGAAGAGATATATGACAAAAAGGAACTTTCAAAATCTAAGTCAACTTTGTCCAAGGGAGTTGGAACCTTAGTTTCCCAATAATAGTTTCTAAATGTATCAACGGAGAAATTTAAAATGGTATATTATTAACAAGTCAGTACCGAAGCACTGACTTTTGACCATGATTTGATGAGTACTGGATATCCATGATGTATATACCATGATCTGATGAGTACTCGATATCCATGATGTATATACCATGATCTGATGAGTACTAGATATCCATGATGTATATACCATGATCTGATGAGTACTGGATATCCATGATGTATATACCATGATCTGATGAGTACTCGATATCCATGATGTATATACCATGATCTGATGAGTACTGGATATCCATGATGTATATACCATGATCTGATGAGTACTGGATATCCATGATGTATATACCATGATCTGATGAGTACTTGATATCCATGATGTATATACCATGATCTGATGAGTACTGGATATCCATGATGTATATACCATGATCTGATGAGTACTGGATATCCATGATGTATTGACCTTGATCTGATGAGTACTGGATATCCATGATGTATATACCATGATCTGATGAATACTGGATATCTATGATGTATAAACTTGACTTTATACAACTCTATCCTTTTCGTTATGCATAGCAGACTACTGATTAATGAAGTATTAGTCCGCCAAGCCCTCTCACCTTATGTGATGGTCTAGAGGTTGTTCGCTATAGAATTTCAAAATAGTTTTCATAAATATTGGTTTTATTGATTAATAAGTATAAGTATCGGTTATTCTGAACATTGGTATCCTAAATATCAGCCACGAGTCACAATGTTATATTCACCCAGTTTTTTTGTGAGTGAGCGTGTGAGAACAAGCCTAAACGTTTTAGATTGTGTTGCTGATAAGTATAAGATTATCGGGTTTTCTACACATTTTCGACACAATGTGAA